TCTTGTTTACATCAGGGTCCCCCATTTCCAATTCATCATAGGTACTGAGACCAATAAAAGACAGTCTGACAGTTACCAGAAAGGCTCATGTGCAATATGGCTTATTCATATGGTTATATCAACACAATTTGTGCGTCCTTCAGAAAAAGTGCCACATTGTTCTTTTGGCTATAAGGATGTTTTGATGAGGCTTTGACTAGCAGGTATAAACAGCACATCTCTAAAGGTGCAGAACTGGTGTTTCTTTCTTGGATATGTAAAGAAATCATGTTGCTTGGCTTTGAGGACAACAACAAAAAACTTCTCTGATATCCAAACGACTCTTCATTGTCTTTAACTGGACATTAAAAAAAAGCCTGCGTCATAACACTTGATTGTAGCTACGCAGTTGAAAATCTGCCACAGACGTTAGAACTAAATGAATCATGTCTCAATGATTCCTTATTTTTGAAAAGCATCACACTACTCAACTGGTTTTTTGTTTTAAACATGCAGGGAAATGTAATAAATCAAAAAAAAAACTAGCAACTTGATGATAGAAAAACATGTGACTCAAAATGGCGTGGTTTATGTTTACTCTGGGTTTAGCTGCCTCAGCAGAAGTAGGCAATTTAAAAATGGCCAAAAGGGATATATTCGTTAAGAAAACTTCGATTAAAACGTGTATGAAAAGCAGAATAAAACTTTCAACAAGCTTGGTTTTGGGTATGCTGCCTGCTAATTTCATTTGGTGAACCGCACCTTTCACGAGGCGCTGGCTCGAGAGACGGACAGGAGAGGAGCTAATTGAATAATTGAACAAACGCATTAATGAATGGTGGAGCGCTAGTTGGTTAACTAACTTACCTCTGAATAATGTGTTTCTTACGGGGCCACTCGGGCCACGCTTGATGGATGGCCTTACAGAAGCCGGGTCAATTAGCCAGACTGGGTTTCCCTCCATGTCGGCAGCAGACAGCAGCGCGAGAACTCCACCTCTGTCACGCGGACGGGCTGTAATTAATCACCGGTGTGGGGCCTTCTCACCTCACACAGGCGCGCGCACAAACAGCCAATAAATGCGTTTGGCCTAAATAACAAACCCCACTCCTCTAATCTGGCTAATTGTCAATATTATACCCAGAGGAGGAGAAAGATCGTGACATAGAAAGTATTTACTACAGACACAAATATATATCTTACTCTCTGTATACTCTGTATTATGCATATGTTATAACGGAGAATCCTGATGTTAGGCATGTTTACTATCAAGGCAGACCTGAGGAATAAACACAAAGTTAAACCATAAGGGACAGATAAACTATAGTATGGCATTGTAGGCCTACAGTATATTAGGCTATAGTGCAGAATATAGTTGAGTATAGCATAGTAGGATATTGTATTCTATGATATAGCATAGCATGGCATAGGATAGCAGGTATTAGTGGAAAGTAAATTAGTACTTCTGCTGAAGTACTGTACTTAAAGGTGGGGTATGTAATTTATTTCAGAAACACTTTTTGTTATATTCCATGGAATGCTCTTAACATCCGGATAACAATGAATATATTAAATGCTTTGACAATAAATACATAAAAAAATGTCATCTGTGGAAGCCGTGGCGCTTTAAAAAGCACGACCAATCATTTTAGCCGGCCCGGCTAAAATAACTGGATGGCCTACCTGCCTGTCAGCCTTCCAGCTGTGCACAAACTTATCTCGTGCCCTCATTGGTCATGTGCGTGTTCGTGTGTGTTGGAGGAGGGGCTCTGTAAGGAAGTCTGAAGGAAGAGGCAGATTTTTTCCGGTTGTGTATTTTCAAATTCTAGCGCTCTCGAGCTGGTTTCTCCAAAATTACATACCCCACCTTTAAGTTCTATGTTGTTATACTTGTACTTTACTTGAGTATTTCAATGTATTGCTTCTTTATACTTATACTCTCCACTCAAAGTTACCAGCTACATTGTCTAAATATAAAAAAAACTACAACATAGAATGATCTTACATGTATTTGTAAGCAATAAGAATACATTACAATGTAATCTTCTATAATAATATATACTTTTTACCTTCAAAACAGCTATTGTGCATAAGGGGTACTTGTATCTTTGATACTTTACATGTAGCTAACAATACTTCTATACTTCTACTTAAGTAATTCAGGACTTTCACTTGTAATGGAATTTTTAAACCAAAGTATTTCTACTTTTACAAAAGTAAAGGCTCTACGTACTTTTCCCCCCTCTGATGCCTGAAGTATATTATATAAACATAAACTATCAAATGGGTGAAAACTGCCTTTATTTTAAAATTATGTTTAAAACATGCAGACAACAGATATAATCAATGTTGTTTTCATCTTGTGCATGAATACAAGATTAAAATCAAATATGTCTAATTTTGATTGAATCCATGCAACATACTGAATGTCTTTCTGTGTCTTAACTATCTATATCAAGGCTACATAAAATCAATTTGATAAACATGACACTTTAAATCTACCTAAATGATAAATAGTTCATGCATTTAATATTATTAAACTTGCTACGTTTCATACAGTCTTTAATGCAAGATTAGAAACAAGTGGACACGTCATGACTTTTCAAATGTATTCACCTCAGAAGCATCATTTGAGTTACACATCTCACCCCTTGCAGCTGTTACTGTGCAGTTCTGTCTCTCCCTCACACAAACACACACAGGTAAACAGAGCACAGATTGAGAGGCAGGGACAGAGACGTCACTCCATGTTCACAGAACACACTTCTGTGGCCTGGACAAAAGCAGGCTGACAGATGAGGTTTGTGTTTGGGGGGGGGGGGGCAGGGGAGCTATGTGTTGCTGCCTGTGCTTCTGAGTCTGTGTGTGTGTGTGTGTGTGGTTGTCCTTATGCATATGTGCATGCATGCATGTCTGAGCGTGTGTGTGCACCTATATGTGTGTGTGTGTGTGTGTGTGTGTGTGTGTGTGTGTGTGTGTGTGTGTGTGTGTGTGTGTGTGTGTGTGTGTGTGTGTGTGTGTGTGTGTGTGTGTGTGTGTATTTTGTTGGGGGGGGGTGGTCTCATGGGGCAGCTCTGTGTCTGTCCCATCTGCCACCCCACTCTACTGACACCCAAGGGAATGGCAGCAAGGGTGGGGGACTCATTTTGGAAAAAGGAATCGGGGTCCAGTGGTCTAATGGGCAACAATGCAGGTTTTACGGACGGGCCAAAGGCTGGGTGTGTGGAAGCCAATCTACCAATCTATTTGAAAAACAGTGGGCCACCCCTGCCAAGCTCTGCCTCTGTATGCCTAATAAGGCACGCACACCCCTTAAATTGTACCTCAAATGAGAAAGTGTATTTTATACACACCAACGTTACATACACCCGGGGCTAATGTCCGCCTAATGCATGACCATGCTGTGGCCGGAGGGCTAATTGGGTATATAAACACAAACACATCCCTTGAGAGGCCAAAAAGGAAGGGTGTATTTTGTGCTTTATGCTCCTTGTATTGTGAGGAAGCCAATACTGTAACCTAAACATGGAGGCTCATCAGTACTTAAGCAGTATCGATAATGAAAGATGACATGGTGTTTGCTCTCATATGCCCAGTAGCTAGATGCTCCTTTGAAGCTGTGCACACAGTGTGATGTGGAACGACTTGGTGGCAGGTGGCTTCTCATCCTATCTTAATCCAAAATGTGATCAGAAGACAGTCAATGGGACTGCAGCAGTCTCAACTACAGCAGCAACAAAACAGTCATGTGGGAAGGAGAAGCATATGGCTCTTGCACCACTGGGCAGAAGGAGAACTCAGCAAGATGAATGCTGAGGTGCCGGGAACAAAGCTGACTTTAACTTGTCAAATTAACAGCAAATCAAAAGAGAGAAAGAGAGAGAGAGAGATGAGGAGGAGGAAGAAGATGCAGCAGCCGGAGTTTTTTTTGACAGGTGCCACTTGATGTTAACAAAGAAAGAACAGAGAGAAACAGTGACTTGCTGTTGAGGTTAGATCACAGAGAGGGTCAGTGCTGGTTTGAAGTCCACATCTCTCTCACTGTCTCTGAGCTGTTGATACGCTGTTTGTCCATACATGTATCATACAGTACACACACACACACACACACACACACACACACACACACACACACACACACACACACACACACACACACACACACACACACACACACACACACACACACACACACACACACACACACACACACACACACACACACAGAGACGTGCATCTACTTGGTGCTACCCTGCCCCCTCACTGCTTTGAGCGCTATGTTAATGAAACAGTTGCTGTTTCCTGGCATAACATTAATTAACCGATCAAAATAGAGTGGGTAATTAACTGCCCTTCTTTACCAGTGCTAATTACATTAGCACAGAAGGGCCATTTCAGGGGAGCAAAAGAGAGGAGAGAAAGAAAGACGGGATGAAGCAGTACCAAACAAAGACCGGATAAAAAAGGCAGTGATGAGGCACATGTCTAGGTGTGTGTGTGTGTTTTAACAGAGAGGAGGAGGACGCTTTGGAGGGAGACTCATGTGGTTCTCACTCGGGCCCCAGGAGGCTCGGTCCTCGGAGAAAAGCAGGCTTATTGAAGAGGAGAGAGATGGGGGGTGTTGTTGTTTATCTTGACATGCTCTACTCAGTCTTTAACGCTCGCATCACAATTAAGATGCTGCGGCTCATCAGCTATGTATACAAAACAGTTTTGCAAGCTGCACGAGCTCACAGGTGACGGGCACAAAAATAGATCCTGAGATGTGGTTTCTTGTAGGAAAATCTTAATGTCCACTAAATAGTCAGATAATACAGTGTGTGTGTGTGTGTGTGTGTGTGTGTGTGTGTGTGTGTGTGTGTGTGTGTGTGTGTGTGTGTGTGTGTGTGTGTGTGTGTGTGTGTGTGTGTGTGTGAAAATATGTGTGAGTCTTTCTCTGCACACATGTAAAAAGAAGCCACCAAGACAATCCTCAATTTTCTTATTTGATTTATTTGGAGCACAAAATATAATTACACCTTAAGATATACAAATCACGTTTGAACCATTTTTTGTACCGTTTCAGAGAAAGATGGCTTCAAAAAACATAATAATAAATTGCTAATATTTTTTTAAATAAATAAAATTAACCAAACTCTAAAAACAAATTTGCAAATGTCATCCACTCTTTGTTTTCACGTCCTGAGAATGAAGTTTGTGTTTTGATGACAGAAATGAATGAGTAAGACCAGCATGGTATGGATTAATGAACACCTAATACTTTTGAGCAGTTTGTGCTTTTATTTACTGTACTGCATAGAGACTAGAGACATGTACTGGGTTGAGACATTTCAAATGAAACAGTAAAATCTATGAGTTGTGAAAATATAAATAAAGAAAGTGGATTGAAATAATATCAGGGCATCGGTGTGACAAAGCATGCATTATAAGTGAAATAAAAAAGGATAAGGCTAACTATAACATGTTTCCTTTACACAAGGACAATAACCTTCTTTAGATCTGGGCATAACATTTAGATGTTGTTGTGCAAGAAGAAGACGTTTTTATTCCAAGAAAGTGTGTCAGAGTTTATTTTCTCCACCACAGAATCAATTCAAAATGATAATTTAGCAAATTAATTAGCAGTTGGTGAGAACTTCATTTGGAAAAAGACCACTTTATAAAAACACGTTTATATTATTCCCTAAACTACCTATAATAAGTTAAATTGCTTGTTCTTAAATAAATCAATATATGAATTCCTTTAGTAATAACCCTTGAGACAAAGAGTTCTCCCTTGTAAAACCGTAGAGATCAGAAACAAAAAATAAAGGGTCTATTTTTCTGGAATGTAAATTGTCTTCAAAACGTCTACTACAAAGAAACCTCTCGCTAACTCACAGACAGTGTACACACATGCCATTTCAGGTGTCCATACACAGACAAATAGCACCCTGCTTCTTGGAGCTGCAACATTACATCAGAATAGTCCGTCAGTGCTCTCACAGCGCGTCCTGTACGTCTCTGGCCGAGGTTGTTGGAAAAAATCAGATGCTGCATGTGACAGCGGGCCAGAGGTAAATACAGAAGCTGTTGATGCTTGAGTTTTCCTTTTGTTCCCTTTCAAAATGCAGATGCTTCATGATACACACATACATGGTCCGGCTGCCAGCTAAGGAGCTTTGTCTCTAGTTAATGTGCTCGGCCTCTGGAGTCGATGGCTGGTCTTTGGACATTTTGTACCTCGTCCCGTTAATCCAGCTGGATGGAGAAGGGACTAAGAAATGGCAGGGGGAGGCTGCGGAGGGACAGTTATACATGGATCAATTCTCCTTTCTCCCTTCCCTCTTTATGCCAAAAGATGGGCTAAGTGAAGCAGTGGTCTGGGGTAGATTTGGGAGGGTGCTTTGCTACATCAAGGGAACAACCAGGCCCGTCATCGCTGGAGAGAAAAAAATATACAAAATCTATGATTCTAATCAATCAGGTCTTGCATTATTGTACATCCAGCAACTTTTTTCTGTCTTGTTCAGTCAAAGCTTTGCGAGTGGTTAGTACAAGGGGGTTAGACTGCATTCGTGAGTTCAGACAGGGGGGTCAGATAGTGAGTCGGATGGCTACCTCTGAAGCTGTTCCCCCCTGAGGCGGGGCAGGCAGGGGAGGGGGAGCCCTGGGGCCTGAGGACGGGAGCAAAAGCACTCTTCTGTTTAGCAGCAGACGGGAAGGAGGAGAAAGGCAAGAGAGACGATGAAGAGCTGGAGCTTCCTGGTATAGTGGGGCTGGAGGGCATTACTGCAAAAGAGAGAGCAACGATTAGTCTCACGTTTGAATATCACAGTGGACTCAGAAATATATAGATCAGGATCAGGTCTTACTGTAGGGAGAGCCTGTGGGGGAGGCACTGCTGAAACCAGGAGAGCCAGGCACTCCTAGACTGGTCATGGGAACCGTCCCATAGCCTCCGGTCATCCCTCCGCCGCCATAGCCTGACTGCTGAGGGGTGGAGGCTGATGGGTAACCCCTTGGAGACAAGCTGCTGGAATTTCTAATGTAACCTGGAGGAATAATATAAAGTTCAGGTCAGTTCTGAGCTTCATTAGTGGAAAAAAAACCTTTATGATTTATAGTATGTCTCTTTTTGCTTACCTTGGCTGCTTTGCCCGTGATCTCCAATGCTGACGCCTAACTGAGAAGGATAGGAGCCCAGGCCCATGACGCTGCCGTGGGCCGGGGAGCTGGGCAGCGCCTGCAGCTGGCTGTGAGGACGGGGAACACTGTAGAGCGCCTCGGCGATGTCCGCGGCACGCTTCAGCAGCATGTCCTACAGGAGATACAACAACACAGGGAATTAGCAAAGGTTTGCAGAGTCATAGACCATGAAGAGGCCAGGTGATGTTCTTTTGAAAATCCCTAAAGGTGAGTATTTCCAAGAAGACCAATCAACTTTTTGGCAGCCGTCAAATCTCAAATGTTTAAGCTTCTTGACACTCAAAGCACTGAAAATGGTATCATCGATTCAGATCTGTATTATCTTGCTGAAATTAAGCCCTCTCATTATTCACTCTGATGGAGTACCTATCTCAAACAGGATTAAAATCCCTGCAAGTGAATTAATTAAATGAATGAACTAGTGGCTTTATGGAAAGTAGTAAGCTTTTTAAGAAAGGCATTCTTTGAAAAATGGTCATCAGCAATGCAGTGTATATACAATAAATACTGAATGGGCAAAAACATGCACTTGTGGTTTTTCGAATATCTGCATGTTTTATGTATATATTTAAGATATTGTATCAAAGTTTCTGCTGTTTACCTGATTACTGTGTGGATTTCCGTACAGGGCCTCTACAAGATCTGCTGCTCTCTTCAGGAGGATCTCCTGCAAAGAACATAACTTATAACATTAATATCAAGCTGTTTAAGGAGTCTAGCATAAATAGTGTCTTGAGAAATCATCAGGATGTATTTCCTATGAGAGCCTCTAACCTTGGCTAGTTTGTCTGGATCACCAGGATGTCGAGGAATGACCTTTTGAAGGCGCTGGAAACCGTAATCTATAGTTGGCTCATTTAGGGCTGAAATACGATAAAAAACAAACACATATTGAAAATCAAATCTGCAGTGAAGTTGATTTAAATGTCATGCTCAAAGACCCTGAAACAGTTAGGAATCTGTGAAGTCTAAACAAATACAGTGTGTTTTCTAAATACCTGTGTAGATGAAGCGTCCAGGTGCTCCCTTGCAGAACTGTTTGGATTTATAAGACAGTGTGACCTCAACGACCCCTGGGATGTGTCGAGGAGGAGTCTGGACACGGATAGCGTGCGGCGTGATCAGCTAAGAAAAAGAAAACAGCATGATTATTACCCCCCGTGCCTTGTAAATATTTAGGCTAACATAACACTGTGAAAAAAAGATTAATTTGTGTAGACTTCCCATAAATCATCTAAATAATGAGACAAGCCATATGCTATATATATCATTTCAAAATATGCTTCAGACTGTACCATCATTAGTGAGATGTTTTGGAGACAATTCCTACCTCACTCCACACGAGCATGCTGCCAAACACCACCTGCAGCCCGTCAAAGAAGTTCTCCCCGATGACGATGACCATCGCCCCGCCGGTGGTCCAGCCCTCACTGGGACTGATGGCTTTGATGCAGGGGGTGGCTGCACAGGAGAGCAAAGCAAGAGTCATTATCAGAGTTTTAATGCAGGATGAGCACCAAATGAAACATGAGTGGAAGGAGCATGCTTAATTTGTTTCAGTGGGAATGTGTGGAAAGTTCTCAGGCCCATCTTTAAAGTTAAAAGCAAATTTAATGACTACCCTCATATTATCTGGGTGGGTTTTTTTATACATCAATAACTTCATAGCGTGGTTAATCCATTACAAATACATCACATGAGCTGGGATCATATAGAACAGTAAAGAAGCTCCAGTGAAATATCATGTCCATATGCACAGTGATGTAAAAGTTGTTTTGTTAAATAATAATAATTGAAACAAAAATGTGTAAGGGGTATTATAATGTTGAGGCTGGCTGCTGTTGAGGTATTCGTAACCACTTTAATTTCTACTGGGAAGTTATTTGAATTATAGCAGTACAGTTTTAAATATAGTAACTAACTAAAAGTGTAAATGTAGTTTAGTAAAAAAGATCATCTCTATGAAATGATGTATTAAATAGTTAATTCACTTTTCACAGTACTCTTCAAAAAGGCAAATGTTTATTCATTTAGACAAAAATGTGAAATGTTAGCTTCTAAGTGGAGATGGATCAACTTTGCTTTATGTGAAGTCAAGTATTTCACTGATACAGTACTGACCTCAGTTAATGACCTCAGTAGCACCACTGGTTATGTTTTGATATATGACGGTGATTATAAGTGGACATTAAGCATCATCAGTACCTGCTGCTACAGTTAATACGATGTTTCTAAAAGTGAATCATGGTAGTAGAAATGTGTGAGAACAGATAGATGTTGTGTGACAGAGTGTTTTAGTGTCTCACCATATTCCATTGAATTCTCCGCAGACTCGCCTGGCTCCAACTTACGGGCCCTCCGGCCGTGTTTCGAGTTGTTGTGGACGAACATGTTGTCTGACACTGCCAGGATGTGACCGTCTACACTCACAGTGCTGGACAAGACCACCTGAAAGAAGACAGGAGGAAGATACATGAGTGTGTGTGCACAACTGAGACAGCATGCTGCGAGTCACACTCTCCGGTTACAACAGCAAAATCCCTGAGCGACAATTTGTTTCGGGTATGCAGGTGATAGTAATATTTCTCAATAGGTAATGTGACATCGCTGGGATCTTCACAACATGTCTGCATTCTGGTGATGACACTGCTCATACACCCCTCCACTCCTCCATCAGGTCTCCATATGGCCTCACACTGCCTCTTGCCTAACTTTTTGATTCATACAGCATGCAGCAGGCCCATCGCTGTCTCCTCCTGATCCTTCAATGACACCAAACATATGGACCAGATCTCCCATTTTTGCCGGCCGTTAAAGCAGAGGATGATATATTGTGGCCCTAATTTGATTTTCTGGCCGCAGCATGTGTGTCCCTTTCCACATCTGCCTTGCATGGATGACACATACAATTAATGAGAGGATACTTGAGGGGTTTTTCCGAAGTGATGCTCTATAAGTGATAATAAGTTTCTTTAAAAAACATGTTTATGAGAGTTAGCGGGAATGGGCCTTAGTGAGAATAAGTGATTTCCAATTGAATAGTAAATAGAACTATTTATAACGTGCTTTTCTTAAATAAAATCGGACTGTTAAGATAAAACCGTGCTCTCCCTTCGAAATAAACACATGGCAGTAATTTTGCAGGTGAAGGAACATGAGAAAGAAAAGGAGAAAAAAGCATATGTGCTATAGGCGGTGGAAAGGGAGGGGAACCTAAAGGAAAATAACTGTAAATTATCGATCAAGCAGCAGACTCCTGTCCAGCTCTGATCACCTTTTAACCCAGAGATGAGAGTCTTGGAGCGCCTGCATGCTCATAACTTCTCAGCATGTGTCACATCCCAGGAGTTAAAGCAAACACGGTGAAAGACGGAGGGAGCACGGAGAAGGGAAAGGGATGGAGGTTGTGCTGGGAGAAGGAGAATGCCAGACAGGGGCCGCTGGTGCTGAAAGACGGCAGAGGAAGTGGGCCGGGAGAGTCCCCTGTGACCACTTCCTGGGTCACGGAGCATGACCTCCTCCATCTGGAGCCAATCACTCAATTCCTGACAACTTCCTGAAACACCTCAACCTATTTCCTGCACCCCAGCACCCCAACGACCAAGTCTCCCACATATCTGACTTCTCTAGTTTGTCTTCCCGTCCCTCTGACTCCTTATTGATTTTTAACTTTCACCTCTAACTCCTTACATTGTCTTCCGATTCTTTAAGAGCTTTGCATTAGATGTAAACGCTACCTATAACAGACAAGAAATTGATTGTTGAATAATACATTTAAGATGGAACGGCATGAAGGGGGTATGTTTTGGTATACTGCAAACTATATTTCTTTAAAAGTTGATTCCTATACTCAGTCCGATATACCATCCCTCTTCTCACTCAAGCACATGCATTTTCGTACCTGAAATCTCCTCATGTCCCTTGGGTTTCCCGCCGTCTTCAGACAATTCTGGTTGCATTTCAGGAAAAACTTCAAGAAAAACCTGCAAAGGTAAATAAGAGGACACACGTTTGTACATCAGAAACTAAAAAAAAGCACATGAAAGAATTGTGTACAGGATTGTTTGCTACCTTTCCACACACTGGCAGTCAAAGAAGACATTAATTATTTGTGTATCTTGTGGATGGTGTGTGTGTATGTGTATCTACATGATTACAGCTCTGACATCAATGCCAGCTGTTTAGCTTAGAATTAGAGTCAATGTTATAACACTTTAAATCAAGGGATGAGAATTTGAAGCACAGTCCGGTGAAAAGCGCTGCTGTGTTTCAAAGTAAACTGGAGACAGTGATGTATGCCAGGGGACTCGGGGGACTGTGGTATCCCGCAATGCCGTATTTGAACCCCCACATGGGAATGGCCAGGAAATGAAGTGGAGACAACTACAGAGAAAGTGAAATGAGGAGGTGGAAAGAGGAAGGTATTGATAGAAGCACAGACACTGGTATGGACATGCATTTTGTTGTCAAGTATATGTGTCTCATTACGTATGTGAGTGTACTTTTGAGGGTGATAGGCTGTGGAGACTGAGAGAAGCTGAGAGAAAGCGGGGCGCTGATAGCCTCTGCTACACCAAAGAAAAAACGGAGAGGAAGGTGGAATAAATGGGAGCGAGATGGAGACTATACGGCGAGAGAGACTCCAAATCCCAGGTGTGCACAGCTCGGCAACACAGCCCGCTGCCATGGCAACGGAGCTCTGCCGCAATCCCAAAGTCCCAACGCTGAGAGGCAAGACAGCGATGGGAAAGAGTCGGAAACAACAAGCACATTCCATCACTGAAACGTAGCCAGGAGCCAGGCTTGGCATTGTGTGATGCAGAGATTTATATAAAAAGGGCCTCTTACATATGTATCTTACAATAGGAAGTATTTTTAATTCACTGTACAGCATTTAATTTAACATGCTGTTTTTAGCCCATCTTATTCTATTTTACTTGCACATAAGTCCTGCAACATTCTCTTGCACCATTTTATTCCTACTCTCTTTATTCTTGCACTATTTTGATTGCTTTTTTATTTGTTTTATGTCTTCTATATATTTATGTTGCATTGTTGGATGAGCCTTTGACTTTCCATAGCATATCTACACTGCGGCTGTGTTGAACCTTTGAGGTGCAAACGAGGCTGAGAAGATCCACACAAATCTCACGCTGAAGAGATATTAGGCAGAAGATGTGTATTAAATCAAAAGAAAAGACAAATGAGCCACAAAGCGATGAGGCACTGTGACAGAATTATGGCAATTGGCAAATAAATAGCCCTCAAACCAGATGTCCACTTCTCTGTGCACACAACACAACTTTGACGTGCCAATGGAAAACACATCCATACATGTTCCAATTAAACATACGACAACAGAGCTGGAGAAAAAGGCTGCAGAGGGAGGCAGTGGTTTTGGGCTGGTTAGCTCCAATGCCACCCACACTCTCTGCAAATATAAGTCATCTTAATGGAGAGCGGTTGTTTGGAGAGGAACTTCATATTGGCCCCACAGCCCAGAACCCTCCCATCGAATACTAATCTCTCCCTCATTCTGTCAGCTTTTACTCGCTTTTCTCCCATCACTCGCTCCACCTTCCTCCCTTGCGAACAGGACCTGGCTTTAAACAAGATCTCAGTTCCAACAGTGTGTCCAATATTTCTTGATTTGAGCTATTTCGTCGGAGGACAATCAATATTGTTGTTGGCAGAGGGCGGTTATAATTTATCAGCGAGAGACCTCCAACCTTAAAGCTGCGCTAGACCTCAGTTTTGGTTGGAAATATGTTAAAGTGCACATTTGTGCCTCTCCTATTTCCTTCTTTCTTTTCTTTCCTCATCAGTCTGACTTTTAACATCCTTCCATACATTTGCTCGTTATACACCCTGTCAGTATTAGTTTACCTCGATTTTAAATCAGAATATATACACTGCAGGAAACGTACAGTTTGTTTCCTTCCTCTGAAAAGGGACCACAGTCAGAAGTGTTCTGTTTCATTTTACTGCCTCCGTTGCTTGTATGTTTTATCCTGGGCAGTGGTTCATACATTATGGCTCCTTTTTAGAGGCTATAGCCTTCATTTACAAGTTGAGGTTAGTCAGCACAGGGTTTCACATTTTTGGTTTAATACCTTCGTCCATGGTCTGGCTGTGGTTTAGCCACAAGCGTTTCCTCGCCACTTGCTTGTCGGCCACTACATTTTAATCTAACCAGCAGTCATCATTCATTTGACTGACGGACATGATCAAACTTGCAGAGATGCCTCGGAGAGCTTACATCACAACCCTAATTGAGGGGTTGTCTACATCCATCTGAGGCTTTGTGCACTTTTTGAGGGTTCTTGACCTTGTTTGTTGACTTCTTCTCATCATTCCTTGTTTAGATGACACCAGATGCCTCACACACACAGAAACACACATTCACATGCATGCATGCACACTCTAATACACAGACACCCCCACCTTTGCCCCCCTCCCAAAAACCCATTGAGTCAACTTTTCACCCCCCTCAGTTCGGACGCACACAGCTGCAAATGCTGAAATTAAAGCGAGACATTGACGCATATATTAGCATGCATTAGCCGCTTCCCCCTGCCCACTTAACATGCAAATCTCCCAGCACCGTCGCCTCGCACCTTCTGCCACACATTCATTTGCTGAATTATAATTAGACTAATCTTGCATAATTAATAAGAAGTCGAGGACCCTCTGTTTTTTTATCCCCCCCTCTATTGTGGTTGCAAAAGTTTAATATTGCTGTTGTTTGTTTTTGTTTTGGTAATGTAATACACCCACACACCTCCCCATCCAGAGGGAAGATATGAGGAGAGCATGCAAAGAATTGGAGGTGATTTTCATGTCACAGGAAAATTGCAGAGAAAAGCCATTTCCCAAGAACTCCATTAGCTTAAGCGTTTCATATTTAATGTGTGCCTTTTTCTTTACATACCTTATACTGTTTGAAGCTGGTGTAAAATAGTGATTCTGTTTGATTAAGACACTGTAAGGTGAGTAATAAGTAACAAGTGGCAAATAAAGCCAATGGGAAACATGTTTAAACTAATAAACAGTTTTTAAATGTTGTCAATTTAGTAAAGCAAAACTATGATCATGAAACTCATTCTCCAATAACTGAAAAGGGCATTCAATAACTAACAAATGTGACACATGATAAGAGCTAACTGGTTGTTTGCAATGAATGACATATTTAGGAATTAAATGAATTTTACAGTGTGGCCAGGAATGGAGACAACGTTTTCTCTGCCGCAACATCTACCTCCAAAGACACACTTAAGACAGGAAACACAAACACAACATAGACCCACGTCTTAAACCTCGGGATCCATTTCCATTGTGGCTCCATGGGGAGTCTGTTTTTTGTATTCTCTGTCTTCACTTCTGCATCTCTGTCAAGGCCTCCAATCCCTTTTGTCTGCATCTGTTTCAGTTCCCAAGACTAAACACAGGCCTCTCAGTGAATGGCAGACATCCCAAAGGTGACAAAAATGCTTAACTTAAACTATTTAAACTTCCAATCAGCACGTCACGACACTAAAGACAAAAACAGCAATGCAGTTTTTGTAAATATTTCACCCCTGCAGTGTGGACCCTCGGTTTCACGTTTCTCAGTCCGTTGGGACATCTGTTACACATAAGTGTTACACATTGGGCTATACATATGGCCTTAATCATGCAATGAGCACCTAAGCAGCACAGGACCCCTAACAAAAATGTTCATAGGCATTCATCAGCACTAATCACTGTTGACATAAACTGCCTTTTCACATAGACATAAAACACATCGCCCTCTGTGCTGATTGTAAATGAAGGTTTACTGGTAGCAGCGGCTCTTGAAGAATGGGATGCATGAGTCTTTAACGCAGAGTTCAAGTTAGTTAGCTATGAAACTTTCTCCACTCATATTTTGCCTTCTTTTAGGTTACTGCACCAAAAGATGACACATTAATGCTTTAATAGAAAAATAAGGTTGGGGACATTTTACGGGAACAAATTGAGGAGAAAGAGGTTATCATAACTTTTGTTCAGCAGATGTGGATGCCCTGCTGCAGACTTAAGTAAAGAAGAGAGGTGAACACAGATAAAGAGCCTCATTCTCTTCATTTATGTAACCATTAAGCTCTCGTTGGCTTTTGATTGTGAGAAATAAGACGAAAAGAGCATTTGAGGAACAGAGAGTTGTAGAAGAGGGGAAAAAGAGGGAGAATGTTGTTGTCCTGTATTCAGGGCCATCACTCATCACACATCCCCTCCATCACCCCCTGCCTTCCACACTGAAAAAACAAAACAGTGTCCTGACATCGCGGTGGAGGGGAGCTGAGGGGAGGGCAGGGAGGGTGGGAGGAAAATTAGGAAACCAGATGTGAAGCATTAAAACATACTGACATGCTGAGGGCCTTCCTCTGCCACACTCACACACTGAGCGCACTAACTCATACAGCAGGCCCCGATACGTGCACGTATGCATATGTCACACGCCGGCTGTACAAACCACACACACATTCGATGCGTGATTTCACAGGAAAATACACAAAGACAAATACCGACTAGCAAGCAACCATGTGTGCATAATCAATCAAGCTAAATTATACACATTGGCAAAAAAGATGCCTCCAAAACAAATGTCTAACAGTCATTAGCTCGTACGTAGCTTACATTGCAAGCTTAATTATTTATAAAAACATGTACGTAACGGGATGAAAACATAATGCTCATGGCTATGTGCTAGGAATGGATAAACCAGTGTTGACCTAAGAATATTTCACGGCAAGGCACAAATCTACAGATGGGTCATCACGCATCAGTGTATGGATATGCATCCAATTAGTACATGTACGCAGGCCAAGGAACGGCTGGGGGGAGGGATGGAGGTGTTTTGTTTTCCTCTATGGGGAGAGCTATGTTTGGGGGATTGAGTGGTGAGTTGGGGGGGGGGGAGTAGTAATAAATACCCCTGGACCTGGGTCCCCTGGCAGACTGGAAG